ATAAAAGCTGATAACATCCTTATGAATTCTAATCTAGCTATAGGAGCATATGTTTCATTGAAATATATTCCCTCATGTTGATTTTATTCCTTTGTAACAAGTACGTATTTTTTCTTAAAACGTTTCCATCTTCATCCATCTTGTTGCGAAAGACCCATCGAGTACAAATCACTAGATTAGCTTAAACTTTGGGAACGAGTTCCCAAACATTGTTTCGTTCGAATTGATTTAAATCTTCTTGCATGGAAAGAGACAAATTTTCATTAACGATGCCTTCATTTATTCCCGTTCATTCAATTCACAAAACAAAATCCACAAAGTTACATACCTTATTGAGGGCCCTTCGAGTAGTGACTCCCTTGGAGATATTTCCAATAAAAATCTAGATAGGACGGTATCTTATTGGTCTTCATTCCTTTGAAAGATAAGGATGTTTTGGTGGAGTGTCTAGGATTTGATCATAATCCAGCTCTTCTTCTTAATTTTCACTTTGGTCTTGGTCTGGTTCTTAATTATTTTCCTCTAGAATGATATTTTCTAGGATACCTGCACAATCAACAACTTCTACTTCTACTAATTTATGGTTAGATTTATCAAAGGTAACATGAACTGATTCTTAGGTTGTCAGAGTTCTTTTATTAAGGACTCTAAAAGTTTTGTTAAAAGTGGAATATCCTATGAGTATGCCTTCATCAACTTTTACGTAAAAAAATTTGAGGTTATCTTTCTTGTTGTTAAGGATAAAGCATTTGAAACCAAAGACATGTAAGTGATACATGTTCATATTTCTTCCTTTGTATAGTTCATAAGGAGTTCACTTTATAATTGGTCTTATAAAGACATGATTCATAACATAGAAATGCTTACTCCTTTTTAGTTCTAGATAACATTGGCAGTTTCCAAAAGGAAACAAATGCATCTCTTTTCTGAGACCAAAATAATGTCTAGGTATAGCAATAGTAGTCATACACAATTACTAGAGTGTAGATGTTTCCACTTAGACTTAAGATTCTGGATGAGCCAAAAAGGTCTATATGAAGTAGTCGTAAGGGCTAACCAGTAGAAACAATATTTTTATATTTAAATAAGGCCCTTATATGCTTGCCTTAAATGAGGTCGTCTACGTGATATTTACAGATCAACTTGTTCAAGTGATCCATATGGATATGATCTATTCTCCTACGTCATAGCAAAGACTCATCCTTGTTACTTATGACACATACATCATATAGAGGAATTTTATTTAAATTTATTGTGTAGGTATTTTCACTTTTTGATCTTGTAAATAGATTTTTGTTTGGTTTAGATTTTATGACCCTGCAACCAAAAGAGTCAAATGTAACATTTTTAACTTTATCACATAATTTATTTATGCTAAGTAAAATTTGCTTAAGCCCTTTAACCATGAGAACTTCCCCAGACGTTGGTTGGGGGACTTACCAACGGTGCCAAACCCTAGAATTTTCCCCTTATTATCATCTCTATAAGAGACAAATCCTCCTTCTTTAGGAAGGAAGGTGGAGAATATGGTTTTGTCAACTGTTATATGCTTTGAAACCCTGCAATCAAGATGCCATTTGGTGTTTGAGACTATACAGTGTTTCTGTAAAGAAAGGGTTAGGTGTTAAGTTTAGGTACCCATATCATCTTGGTTCCTCTGTTGTTAGTTTCATAAACAACCTTATGATTAATCTTAGAGATATAGTCATTTATAGGGGAAAATAAAATTTATGCTTTGTGTTCACAATGTTTCTTGTAAAAATATGAAACAAGATGTTCTTCTTTACATTCATGATTCTTCTTAATGAAATAAAACATGAAAACGGGTCATTGTTTATTACATTAGTTGCAAATGTTATCAAATTTTTTACTATTATTATTTGGTTCATCGCCAAGGTTGCTCTATTGTAACAGACTGTTTGATTTCCTAACAAAAGATTCAACTTATTTATTCCTTTGGTCAACTTGGCAAGTATTTTTTAAAGATCACAATTTTCCTTTTTTAAGTTATCTTATTAATTGGATTGGGGGACTTACCAAGGGTGATAAAACCTTTAATTTTCCCCTTATTATCATCTCCAAAAAAAAAATACGAAACCTCCTTCTTTAGGAAGGAAGGTAGGGAATAGGGTTTTGTCACCTGTCATATGCATCGAACAGCCGCTACCATGATACCATTTAGTGTTTGAGATTGTAAATCATTCCTACAAAGAAAGGTTTAGGTATTAAATTTAGGTCCCATATCATCTCGGGTCCTTTGTTGTTAGTTTTATAAACATCTTTCTTATTAATCTTAAAGATATAGGCATTTACAGAGGCAGATAAAAAAGTCTTTGTATTCACAGTGTTTCTTGTAAAAATATGAAGGAGGATGTCCTTATTTATTGTCATGACTCTTCTTAATGAAACAAAACATGGAAATGTATCCATCTTTATTATAGTATATGCATTTCAAGGTTTTACAATGAGAGGTGGTTTTGGAATTGCAAATTTTATTAAAGTTTTTACTATTATTGTTCGGTTCATAGCCAAGGTAGGCTCTATTGTAATAGGATCTTTGGTTATTTCTTCTTCTTCATCGTCTAAGGATTCCATATTATTATCTTTCCATTCAACATAGGTTTTTTTTCTGAGGTTTCCTAAACTTTTGTTTTGATTTCTTGATTGGGGGGCAATATGGTCTGATATGCCCGTTCTTACCATAATTGTAGCATGTTGGAATGAATTATCTTTTTTCTTTTGTCTTTTTCTTTCTCTTCTTTTTTGCTTTTTCTCATGTTTTAGGAATTTTGATTTGTTCTTTACTATGAGAGACATGTGACCATCAAAATTGGATTCCTCTACTTTAAGTGCCACACTTTTGTTTTTATATTCTCATTCTTCATCTATGGAAAGCCTTTTGAGTTTCATTTCGTGTTCGTGAAATTTTCTCAATAGTGTGTGTGTGTGTGTGTGTGTGTGTGTGTGTAATAATAATCATTTTGACTCATACGACAGATTTGAGCAATTCGTGGCCAACCTTTTTAATGCACTACTTCTTCGATACACGCAACTAGCCTTCCTACATCAGTCTCATGAATTTCAGCAACATTGAAAGTATTGGATATATTCATGGAATCCGAAAGCACTACCACATAAGCATTATCATTAGTATTTCATGTCACTTTGAGCGGGTCATACTTACGTGGTTAAAGCTTGATGTAAGTACCAATTGGAAACCTCTCCTTATGCAGACACACCATCACATCGTCTCCTACATTGAAAATTTTAACTTTCATGTGTTTATTAGTTGCTGCTTTATTTTTCTGCCCAGTCGCCTCTAACTTTGCCTTGACGACTTCTTTAATAGCTACCATCTCCTTAGCCATATTCTCAGCAGCCACACTAACTCCAAGCGCCTTAGACAAGTTAACCAAATCAAACACATGCTTAGGGAAAAAAGTATGAGTGCACATTGTTGTTGTAAGAAAATTCTACCTGAGGAAAAACTTAACCCCACTGCTTCGACTTGTCCCCACAAACACTCTTAATCATATTTTTCAAAGTTATGTTGATTACCCCAGTTTATCCATCTATTTGAGGATAAGTTGTAGAACTCTTATTGAAGATGGTTCCAAACAGTCTTAATAGATTAATCCAGAAATGACTAAGAAATCTAGTCTCCTTATCATAATTAATTGACTTAGGAACCCCGCGAAGATGCACAACATTCTTGAAAAACAGTTTGGCTATGTTGGATGCATCAACAATTTTCTTACAAGCAATGAAGTGTGTCATCCTGAAGAATATGTCTTCTATAACAAACACAAAACCAATAAATCGTAGTGTATGAGGCAAGCCCGACACAAAATCCATGTCTAAATCTTGCCAAATATCATTAGGAATAGGTAAAGGCATATAAAGACCAATATTTTAAGACTGACCTTTATAAACCTGACAAGTATAACACCTCCTGACTATATCCCAAACATCCCTCCTTAAGTGTGGCCAATAATACCTCTCCTCTAGGCTAGCAATGGTAGTGCCTCTACCTAGACGATCGCTAACACCACCACCATGTAGATCTCAAGTTAACTTCTCTCTTAAAGACGAGAAAGGAATGCATAGTGGATCGTCTTTAAAAAGATAGTCATCTTGAATATTAAAATCTACACAAAGATGTTTTCCACTGCATTTGACCCATAAATCCTTGAACTCAACATCACTTTCATACATCTCTTTCAGGAACTCAAAGCCTATTATCTCATGCGCTAAGGTAATTAGCAAGGAATCCCTCCAACTCCACGTATCCGCTACCTTGTTAGAGCCTCTGACTTGTGCAGAATAATAAAACGAAATTTCTGCATAATACTCACATGCATCTTGTTTATCACCTTCTGGCTGTGATGGAACTTCAAGGCTTGATGGTAAGTGGACATAACAAATTCCTTCTAAACCAAATAACGTTCCTACTAATGTAGAGCTCTAAATACTGCATAGAGTCAACACACATGTGATCTTGATTTTAAACCTCACTTGCACCATCTTCATCAGTTGAACCTCCTTCTTCCCGACGAGATCTTTTCTTCACGATCTTACTTAGTGATGGATAATCCTTGATAGCATTTGTCACCGCCTCTGACTGCTTAATGAGTTTGGTTATAAGTTCAAAAGAGTTTTTAGGGATAAGCATATTGTTTCTTATAAAGTGTTTTTTCATTTGTAAGAATTTTTTAAATGCTTGAATTACAATAATATACATTAGTTTTAAAAATAAATTTAGAGAGGATTATTACTGATGTGGACAATTCTACCGTGTTTCTGAAGAATGTTCAAAATATGTCCAAGTAAAAATTATTTGTAATCACTTTATCCTTCGAAACAATGTTTTGTATCAGAAAAAATCATGAACAAAACCTATACAAACCCTGATATATACATATAGTTTCGTCATAGCTTCATATGGACCATATTTTACAGCCTTACCTACAAGCAACTTAATTTCATTTGAGAAGTTGAATTTATGTCTCAATCAAAGGGTCATTAAAGTAATTATCAACCTCCCATTCACATGATTCAAAATCTTCTTCAAGATGAAAAGGAATATTATCCACCATGCAAGAAGAACTCTCATTAGAAACCATTGTTGGAAGTGGAACAACATGTTCATTATAAGAACAAAAACAACCAAATGACTCTTCCAAATATTCTTCTCCGGTTATCTCTCTAATCCATTCTTGCACATTTATCCTTTCACTCCAAGTTTCAGTAACACATGAAGAAGATGAACTACCATTATTATACTTATCAACATTTTTTGATTTTCTCTTTTGCTGTTTCGGTTGATCATCATGTTTCTGCGGCGGTTTGATAATATTTGTAACAGCGTCAGCACCTCTATACTCAATTGCAGCCCTATCATAAACCAAAGCAGCTTCTTCCGCAGTATCATAAGTTCCTAACCATCTTCTCCTTCCGAGGCGAGGATCGCGAATCTCCGCCGCCCATCTCCCCCACGGCCGTCTTCGAACACCGCGAAACTTATGATCAACACTTTTCAAACCACATTCACCATTAACATTGTAGTTTTCTCCATCTTCATGTTTCTTCTTATAGATTTTCTTGTTAGAATGAGTGGAACTTGTTTGAAATCTAATCTCGTTCACTATTTTCTTTGTTATTACACGTTGAACAAAATTATGTTCTTGTTCTTCTTCAGATGAAGAATCTGTTGCGTCTTTATCAGTAAAAGTGATTCTAACAATTTTTGGTGTAGAAGAAGATTTCACAAACTTTGTGGTAACAGTTTTGAGCTCAATGATTTTTTGTTCCTCCATAGTAGCTAGAAAGTGTGTGTATGCATCTAGAAGAGTCACAAAATGAATTACAATTTTTAAGGGAATTTTACTAACTTATATAATATTTATACTAAATAAAATAAAAATAATCAATAAATAAATAAGCTTTTTAATCATTTGCTTTATGACCACGCATGCTTGGCCACCAAGGAACACTGTTTTTTTTTATATTATCTATTTTTCTTTAATCTTATGTACTTGTAATCGTCTTTTTTTAAAGTCAATATGTAATTAATTAGTCATACATTACTTGATATTAGTTGCAAGAGCAAAATGATATATTAACATAAAAATTGACAACAATGTCATTCACCGTTTCTTAATATATCAATTTTTATTCTCAATTTTGTATAGGACATACATTTTAAGGTGAAGGCAATTTGTTAAAAGTATTTTTATAATTTAATAATTTAATCAATAAAGTAAAAATTATCTATGCAGCTGAGAAATAAGAAAAGTATTATGGATGTAACCAATTAACGTAATTATGTAACTAGTTACAATTGAAAAAGAAATAATTTTGTACCAACGGTAATCGGTTATAAGTCCGATTTTTTTTATTTATAGTTATTTGTTTATGTGATATGTATTTTAATCATTGTGTAATATTTGTATAAATGTCTTAAAGGTGTCTTCATATGTAATATTCTCACCCTCAACTCTCTCTCTCCATTAATTTATCAATCTTGTGGTTTCAAGTTCTAACATTTGGCATCAAGAATCTGGTTCAGATCCATAAACATCTAGTGTGCAACATGAATTTTGTCTCCAATAAAAGAATTCTTGCAAACATACTCATCCTTGATGCGAAGAATTTTGACAAATTGTGTAAACAAATGCACAACGAGCAACAAATAAGGAAGGGAAGAATAAAGATTTCAATGTGTTGTTTTTTATCCATCAATGAGTGAATGGTGACAACTTTGAAAAAGTTGGTGATTGTGAATCATCAAAGTAAGCGTGAAAAATCTTAGAGAATGCTTACGTAGGGGCTGAAAAAGAAAAGGTGGTGAGGTTATAAACTCACAAGCGTCAACTTAAATTGATTCAAATGGAAGAAAATGAGACAATCAACGATTTCACAACAAGAATCACTCGATTAGTGAATCAAGTGAAGGCATATGGAGAAACAGTCACGGAGCAATATGTTGTCGTGAAAATTTTGTGTTCATTAACGCTTGGATTTGACAACGTGATTGTAGCGAATGAGAAATCGAAGGATCTTACAACGATGAGCAAAGAGAAGTTGCAGAGCTCTCTTGAGGCTCATAAGCAAAGGATGCAGAAGAGAAATAATGATAAGGAAAAGGCGGAGATCGCTTTCCAAGCCCGCTTCAACAAGTAGGACAAGAGATCGAAAGGAAAATGACCCATCAAGAGTAAAGGTGTTTTTCATAATTTTGGTGGAAGAGAGTCCTAAAGTTTCAAGAATTCGACTTGTCAAAAAGGTGAGAGTAGCTGCGACAAAAATGGTGGTCAAGGCAACTTTAGAGGTGAAAGAAAGGGGTTTGATAAAAGTAAAGAGCAATACTTTAAGTGTCAAAGGTTTGGTCATTTTGTAAGAGAATGCAATGAGAACAAGAAGGAAACTCAAGGAGATGAAGCCAAGGTTGCAAGAAAAGAGTTTAATGAGGAGAATACACTCTTAGTCATTATCATAGAAGGCGAATGCAGCATCAGCAGGTTGCGGGAAAGCATCAGCAGCAGTTCTAGTAGTGCTGTAAAAACATGTTGTAACCGATTACGTGAAAGATGTAACCGTTTACATGCAGAAGAAAATGTCATGGTAACTGTGATAGAAGGAGTCCAATGCAGCAAAGAATGGTATTTGAACTCGGGATGTTATGGATGCAAACAGGGTTTTGGTCCTTAAATCTCCTATGGTTTCCAATAGAACTTTCAAGGTTGGACTGAAGGTTATGGAGCATAGATGTCTTGCTACAATAGCAAGTTGAGAATAGTGGATATGGCATTATCATCTTAGGCATCTCAAATTCCAAGATCTCAAAGATTTGCAAAAGAACGAAATGGTTATGGGGTTGCCATTGATTAACATACTAGCTGAAATTTTTGAAGAATGTGTGCAAATAAAGCAACATAAGGGTAAATTTAGCAAGGATGCCGTTTGTAGAACCAAGAATTACCTTGAGGTGGTGTATTTGGATATGCATGGACCGATGCAAGTAAATTTCATTGGCGGCAAAAGATATTTTGTCACATTCATCGATGATCATAGTAGAAAATTATGGACATACCTAATCAAGAGAAAGGATAAGATATTTGAAGTGCTTAAGAAGTTAAAGTCTGTGGTTGAGAGGCAAGGCAGATACAAGCTCAAAGTTCTTAAAACGGATGGTGGATATGAATATGTCTCAAAAGACTTTGAGAGGTTTGTGATCAAGAAGGGATTGTAGATGAGGTTGTACCACCTTATACACCACAACAAAACGCCATTTCCAAAAGGAAGAATTGATCGATCATGAACATGGTGAGAGCATGTTAAAGAGGATGAACTTGTCAAAAGAGTTATGGGGAGAAGCGGTATCCACAACTTTTTATTTGTTGAATAGAGGTCTAACAAAGAAGCTTGGGAAGGTAACACTGGAGGAAGCATGGTCGGAATTCAAACCGAATTTGAACCATATGAGAGTTTTTGGTTCCGATGTGTATCGACGTGTTCTGAGGCAGCTTAGAAAGAAGTTGTGATCAAGAAGGGATTGTAGATGAGGTTGTACCACCTTATACACCACAACAAAACGCCATTTCCAAAATGAAGAATTGATCGATCAGGAACATGGTGAGAGCATGTTAAAGAGGATGAACTTGTCAAAAGAGTTATGGGGAGAAGCGGTATCCACAACTTTTTATTTGTTGAATAGGGGTCTAACAAAGAAGCTTGAGAAGGTAACACTAGAGGAAGCATGGTCGGAATTCAAACTGAATTTGAACCATATGAGAGTTTTTGGTTCCGATGTGTATCGACATGTTCTGAGGTAGCTTAGAAAGAAGTTGGATGATAAAGGAGAAATGATGGCACTTGTAGGGTATCACTCTACCGGTGGTTACAAGTCTGTTGGTCTGCTGGTCTTCATCAAACACAATTGTGATTGTTTCTTGCTCCTGTCAAACTGACCCTTGACTCCAATCCCACCCTTTGATTTCATCCACTAGAACATATCTAGTGATCACAATTTTATCATCATTTGGTGAATACACTTTGTATGTATCAGTCCAATGATAACCTATGAACATTATAGTCTGACTTCAATCAACTAGTTTCTTCCTCAATTGTTTAAGTACACGCATAAAGCACATTGATTCAAAGAATATAAGATGACTAACATTTTGATTTTTTCCTATTCAAGCCTCATAAGGTGTCTTATCGGCTATCTTCTTCATTGGACATCTGTTAGAATGTATACTATTGTCGAAGCTGCTTCACCCCAAAATCTGTTTGGCCCTTATTTAGCTTTCAACATGCTCCTAGTCATGTTCAATATACTTTTATTTATCCTCTCATTTATACCATTATGCTGAGGTGTATATGGTTCAATTAACTCATGTTATATACCTTCATTCATGCAAAATCTTACAAACTCTCTAGAGGTGTATTCACCACCACCATCAATTCTCAATTTCTTTAACTTGCATCCACTTTTCTTCTTGACGTGCAATTTAAACTTCTTTAACTGTGTGAATAGCTCATTTTTCCTTTCGATAAGTTAAATCCACATATATCTAGTGAGTTCATCTATGAAAGTTAGGAAATAGCAGTTACCTTTATTTGAGCTTACATCAAAAGGTCCACACACAATAGAGTGAACAAGCTCCAACTTTTATCTCGACTTCATAGACAAGTCATGTTTGAATGGCTTCCTAGCCTACTTTGCTTTGCAGCATTCCTCGCATACTTGACTTGGTTCTTTCACTTGAGGTAAGACATACACCATATTTTTTGGTTGAGAATACCTTTGAAGTTTAAGTGTTCATACCTGTGATGCCATAGCCAGTTCTTATCTTAGACAGCAGTTGAAGCAAGACTCTGATGATCAACCATGTTAATCTCAATCTTGAAGGTTTTTTTATTCGCCAATGGTGCCTTCAGGATCATCCTTCATTCACTATTATGCACCTTCATCAGATTTCCTTCCAACTTCATGTTATACCCTTTGGCAAGTAATTGATCTATTCTTATAAAGTTACTTGTCATTGAAGGTATATATAATACATTAGTAATGTTGACTTCTTGACCATTCCTCTTCATCACAACAATGTTTCCTCTTTCTTCTAGTGTAACATGTTTGTTATCTACAAACTTAATCACTTTTTTGAATGATTCATCAAACCTAGTAAACCAGATTATATTACTAGACATGTGGTTATTGCATCTGGAATCTAGATACCACATATTACTTTGTTCATTATTTGATTGAGTATTTGTCAGGAGTAGCATATCATCTGAGTCACTTTCTCCAACACGTGCATATTGCAATTTGTCATCATCTTTTGCTCTAGATTCCTTCTTTCTTCTACAATCTCGAGCATAATACCAAATCCTTGACAGTTGTAAAAATGCACCTCCCTCATGTCAACTTTCTTCCCCATAGACTTGTTACCCATGATTTTCTTGATTGAATCAGAGTGATTCTTTGAGTTCTTGCTTCACTTATCATCATTAGTAATATTTTTTCTCTGCTTCGACTTTTCTTTCCCAGATTTCTTGGTGAATCTTGCTTGCATTGCTTGTTCAGCCACTTTTTCCCTCTCTGAATTCCTCTGCTTCGGTATCATCTCATAAGCTTCCAATAAATCATGAAGTTCTTCCACCTTCATCTCAGCTAGGTTCTTGGACTCTTCAATGTACACGACAATGTAATCAAAGTTTGCAGTCAAAGATCTCAACACTTTCCCAATCTTCTACGGATCAGTGATTGACTCACCATTCACCTTCATCTGGTTTGTTAGCGATACTACACCCA